ACATATCTATGACTATTTCTTCAGCTTTAAAATTACCTCAAATTGATGGAAGAACAACTCTATAGTATATGAAAACATAGAAAGACTCCAAAACCTGAGGCAGCATGAAATACTGCAAATTACTCCTCCTGCATTTAATGAATACCACAATTCACGTAATAGGTCAACATCTACACAAAAAATAAGATCACCACAAAACCCACGTGATTTTAAACAAAGGACAGTTCAAATGAGCTACTACAAAGAGTCTGTACCTCAATACCTAATTAGTCAAAATACTGCTTAATGTTTTAAGATTTTTTTTTTGAAGTATTACTTATTAGGAATACACTTAATGTTTGACATTCTACCTGTGTTGACACTTTATATTTCTGGCTCTTTCAACCATCAGATCAACCATTAAATTACTTCAACAAGCAGAAATAGCAACAGTGCTTCCAAACAGCAATTTCTGCATTGCTAGACACTTATCTAGTTGGTAGATTTATACCATTGTTCATTCTTAGTTCCTTAAATGTAAAAAATACTCACAGAATGGTAGCATATCTCTAAATTAGTTTAAATATGGTACAAAGTTATTTTTAGTTAGGTTCAAGTTTTAAACGGCACTTACTCTTCTCAAAGCTAATCTTAAATTACACCTATATTAAAAAAAAAAGGCTAATTTGTTTCTTTTGGAAAATAGAAATGTTATTTATGTAATACTCAAGGGAAAGGTATTAGAATAACAAATAGTCTCACATCAAATCATATCTGTCATTAATAAAAATAAGTTTGACATTTATTCTAATGATGGTGTTTTGAAACACATGGCTAAACGTCATTTATGTGCACTTTCAAATATAATTCTTATAAAAATTAAGAAAGTTAAAAATTTTATTCTCTACTATCCAAAATAAAAAAAAATCTCCATAAGAAATTATAAACTGGTTCTTACTCATTAAAGATACCAGAAGTACTCACACATTTATATGAAATTTGTATGCTCTCTTTGCACGCTAGAAAGATGCAAAGACAAACACTTCCAAATATTCAGACAGATTATCCCACAGTTGTAACTTTCATCATAGTTCTCAAAGCAGTATGGTGAGGTCAGCTCACAAACAGCTTAAGTAGCAAAACTAGAAATTGGTAGTAGTAGTATCAGGCTACATAACAGCCTCTCCAAAGAGTATGAAGTAAGAGAACTAAAATGTTCTGGCAACATGCCAAAAAACTGGATGGAATATAGCTTTGAGCAATGAACACTCACAGCTTACAGTATGTAGCAATTCATCTTCTCTGACCCTATAGCTTGACTTTCCTTGTTTTAAACCAAAATAACAATGTATAAGAGGTATTTAACACTGCCATACCTCTACTTATGAGCTGAAAGGCACATAGGCCTGCAATGATTTGTGAAAACTAAACGTAAGTGGCTGCCTGGCAAGCCTGAAGACATGAGTTTGAGCCTGGTACCAAAAAAAAAAAAAAAAAAAAAAAAAAAAAAAAGAACCACAACAAAAATGCAGATATTTTACTTAGGCAACAGAAGAAATCACATTCAGATCAACACACATTTATTGAACACATATTTTGCAGATATGCATTTTGTGCTAGACATTACACCAAGAAATGAGGAAACTGATGATGTGTATGCCTAGTCTCAGAGTTGATGATCTGGTTGGGGAGATCACATGACACAGTCAATGAGCTCCACTACCTGCAGGAACAAAATCCCAAGGCATCACCAAGGAAAGAATAAGTCTGCCTATAGCAGTGTTGGCAAACCTACAGCACGCATGCCACACTGGGCTGTTTGTATCACTGAAAGCTCTAAAATGTTCACTATTACTGGCCTAGAAGCTGGGCAAATCTTCAAAATCATTATAAGCTTTGAGCAACACTTTGAAGGACAAGAATTTCAAAGGGAAGAGAGATATTGCCATCGAAAGACAGAATGAGCAAAAGCAAAAAAAAAAAGTGTAAAAACACAGCAGATATGAGAAAATACATGTGGCAATGTGTTATTCTTAGGGATAACAATCTCTGGCATCTGTGCAAGTATTTTTCTACCCTAATCCTATTACTGACATCATTACTCAAACTAGAGTTTGTTTAAAGCCCACATAAAACCTCACAACCCTTCTCAACCAGCAACAGATAATCAGTATAAGGAAACAAGTTCATATGATAAAATGTACATATGATCCCAAGCCTAGGAACAGAAAATGGTAGGACATGACGTTGGGTAGGTAAATTAAGAGCCATAAATGTCCAGGAATGCTAAGCTAACAAATTTAGGTTTTTATCCTGTGTACAATACAGAAAAGATTCTATAAAAATATTGTTATGATCAATTCTGGCAGATATGCGAAAACTGAGTATGGACAGACAGAATGAATGCAGAATGCAAAAAAAATGCAGGTAGGCAAAAAATAATAGGCCTGAATTTCAGCAATGAAAAAATTACTGCAGGTTCTCAAATAAAAATAGAGTTTTGGATTTTATAATCTGTAGTTTCAAAACACAAATTTGGAAAAAATTAACTGTGTAATAAGAATTCTCAAACAGTACATGAAAATTTAAGATAAAGACTAGAATTGAAGAAGTGAATCACAATGATACTCAAGATTACTCAAGACTAAAATTCAGAAATAGATATTTCAGGTTTAGCATCAAGAAAGAGAACATCCTCATGACCAGACTAATACTCAGCAATTCTTTTCTTCCTCACAGGGCATTAATACTTACACAAACAACAAACACTATTCACCTTACATGCCCCTACGATGAAGGATCAAATTCACACTTCCAGTGAAACACAGAAAGCACAAAAGTCAAATTTGAAACCAAAAATGTACCCAAACATTTAAAATTACATTTTTAAGAAACATTTATATGAAATAAACTCTTTTTGAAGATAATTCTATTATAAGTAATTCATACCAAGCCCTTTAAACTCAAATTCTTTGCATAGAATACAACCTAGCTGTAGCACTTTGAACAGTATGTAAAAAAAATCGACTCTTCCATCATTTCTGCAGAATATTTAATAAATGCAATTATTCTAATAAAAAATAGAAACTTCATTGTAGTTCAAAAGGCCAAAGATAGTGAGTCTTTCTATGTTCAAAAAGGATTCTTTAGCTGTTGGAAACAAAGGCTAGTATAATGATGTGAAATGTACATACAACATGTTAACAGGCATGCTAGAAAAGTTAGCATTCCTGTTTTAAGGCCTGGGCTAACGCTATTCATATTAAGGCTATTATTACCCTGTAATGAATGCCAATGATGCACTTCATACTACAAAGACATATAATCAAAGGTTCTACTTTGTTCTCATCCCATTAACAAACTCTCAAATTATAATTTTCATTCTCTTAAGCCAAAATGAAAAATATGAGTACAGATATAATTTATATATGGTACACTGTTCATTCAGGGAATCAAATCAGATAAAATTTACCATAATCTATCTCTTGTTCAGAAAGACAATGATTAGTCAGTTACAAGCAGGGGCTTCTTCTCATGATGTCATTCTAAAGTCATTACTAAATTTTACACATGGCAGGCTTCCTTCAAATCAATCACAAAATAAGTCAACCAAACAGTGGGGTCAAATTCCATTCTAACAAAAAAGTCCTCCAAACTCGAAGGTACACTTACTAAGTAATATTCAAAGACCGAATTCCAGAAAAACCCTCCTCCCCAACCTCCCACAATTAAAAAAAAAAAATCAGTCTTGTCCTTTTAGATCACTGTAATGGAATGCAACCTCTTACTTAAGGTCTTATCTATTTCTCATTTTCTGCTTAGACAACATGATGCAGATCTAGTCTCTCTGACATGTTTTTTAAGAAAAAAAGGGGTAAAATGTGGATGGTTAAATATATAACTGAAACAAGTAAAAAGTAAATTGTTTTACTAGATTTCTCACATTGCATTTTCCTATTTGAGCAATGTATGGCATGTAGAATGTGTATATTTATTTTGTTTGTTTGGTTAGTTTTTTGAGACAGGGCTCAGTATGTAATTCAAGCTAGCCTCAACATTCTGAGTGCTGGGATTACAAACACTATGACACCCGGCTGAACACGTGTATTTAAACAGTGTGAATATTTTTATTTTACAACTCTGGTCAGACATTTAAAAGATCTGCATGTGTGTGTGTCTGGTGTTGGGTATTAAATCCAGGGTACCTCACACATGCTAGGCAAACACCCTTTTTTGAGACAAGCTTTCAAGTTTTCCAAGTGAATATTAGCCTGGAACTTATAATCTCCTGTCCCATTCTCCCAAGTAGTTAGATTGCAGACATGTGCCACCATAGCAGTTTCTAATAACAGATTTATGATTTGGATGCCTGCTAATAAATTTTAGACAAGAGATTCAAATTACTATCAAAACAAATCTTCCCATATGAAATTACTATAAACATATTCTCATAACAAATTGTATTTTGATCACTGAAGTTACATATTTAAGTAACTAATCATAGAGATCAAGGAATTGTTTAGGAAATATACTTCAAAGAATAAATTTAACCACTTAACACCTATCTAGGGTATAGTTCCTTATTTTTTGTTTTTGGTTTTTTTCAAAATAGTACTGCGGATTGAACCCAGGACCTTTACACTGAGATACATCCCTAGTCCATTTTATTTTATTTTTTTACTTCTGAGACAAGAACTCACTAAGTTATAAAACTGCCCACACTTTCTGCCTCAACCTCCCACAGTGCTGAGATTACAGGCCTGCACAAGTTCAAATTCTTCATTTTTTTTTAAAAGGTATCTGACAATTACCCTTTACACCCAGTTTTAAAATGAATAAATTCTGGGGCTGGAGATTTAGCTCAGCGGCATAAGCTCCTGCCTTGCAAGCAGGCAGTCGTGAGTTCGATCCCTGGTACCGATAAAAAAGGAAAAAGACAAAAAAAAAAAGAATAAATTCTATGGCTTAAAGCAGACAAAAACACTCCCAAGATAATAACATTAAGGATATACTTTACTTACATTCTTCCTACACCTTCATACATGTTAGTCTCATCTACCAAAGTCATAATTTCTGTATCTGTAAGATGCGCATGCTTTTTCGTTCTGTTCAGTTGTTCAATCTGGATATCTGCAAGCTTCACTTTCTGTTGAGTGTCAATAACCTTAGCTTGAAGCTCTGTGAAGGCCTGATAAAAACAAACCCTTGATTTAGTAGGCAAAACATTTCACAGAAAACATTTAGGTCAAACCCAAATTTATTAAAGCAGAAAATGCTAAGCAGAGACAAAGCTGTGAAACTTACCAGGTCAAACATAAATGAGTTAATACAATTAGCTATATTAATTACTGAATTTACCTTGTCCTCAGATGAGATCAATTTGAAAAAGCAAAATAAATGTACATTAAATAACCAGTATCAAGTAACCAGAGTAATACAAACAATGAATGCAAACAAATGATGAAACTCAGAAATTCAAAACAAGAACCATAAAACTAACAACTCAGAGGGTCAGAGATTTAGCTCAGTGGCAAGACCACCTGCCTGGCAAGCGCTAGGTCGTGAGTTCAGTCCCCAGTACCAAAAAATAAAAATAAAAAATAAAAATAACAACCCATTACACTACACATATTATGCAAATAAATTTCAAAGCACTCTCCAGTGCTGTTTCAAACTAATCACACAGGAATATTACAGACAGTATTAAATACAATATATATCTCATTTACTCCTGCTGATAAGCCTGAGATGGCAGTTTTATCTTTCACAAGTTACAAATCAAATAAGTAAGTTCAGAAATAAAAGTGGCTTATACAGGGGAGTACGAGGTAGATAGGCAGGTACTTAAAACCATTTCTTCTGACCTTCCTTAGTTCAAGAATCTTTACATCCTAAATAGTAAAATTCAGAATACAAATATTTTTAAGAGAAAGTCTAAAAGAAAATTCTAAACAGCGGCAGAATTGCATCACGATCTTCATCTGCACATACCAGGCCAAATTTGATCCCTGTGTACACTTACTTAACTTGGGGATAAACACAGTTCTTGGGCACTCTTGTTGAAGGTCTAGAATGACTTTCACATGTTGTCAAATTTATGCCTTACTAACATTTGGTAAATGAAATGCATAGCAAAGGCTACTATTTAACTTTTATTCTGACTTCATTGTGTCACCTACTAAGGTTTCAAGGTTTCAAGAGATTTACTTTGGGGGAAGAGGATAACCTGAAATTTCCCATTAAGTCTTCACCCCCACGCCCCAAAAAACACCTTTGTAAAAACATTAGATGAAGCCAGAGATACTGGCACATGCTTGTAATCCCAGTACTCAGAAGGCTGAGGCAGGAGGACTGCCATGAGTTCAAGGCCAGCCTGGGCTACAAAAGTGAGTTCAAGGCCAACCTGAACTGCATAGTGAGATACTGCTTCAAAAAAACCAAAGCAAACAAACAAAAAAAATTAGACAATAAAATCTTTATACGTTTGTTTTTTATTCAACTGTTGTCCAACTGTTCGATTTAAGTCTGTAATTATTTTTGGTTTGCATTCGTTGTCCACATTTCTTAGCAACAAAATCCACTGGTAAGTATTCCACAGTTGTACTCCCATTGGCTCTTATACTAAACTATGATTTAAATTTGAACTTTTAACAGAAAAAAAGGGTAAATTTTCAGAATAAGCAACTTTGCTCTGAAATGTAAAATATCCACCTACGGCTAAATAAACAAGCACATGCAGAGAAGTTACAACACCAAAGAACACAAGGTAAAGCCTTCAAGAACAGCAAAAACGAACAAAATGCGGCACAAATACCTAATGTTCTTAGCAATTATAGGTTTATTCATTAGTAGCAAGAAGTCCTATTGAATTTGGGGACAAGGGGTGTAATGGGGATCGAACTAACGAACTTGCCCTTGACAGGCAGGCGCTAAAGGCGCTAAAAACCCCAACCCCTAGGCTGTCCTATTTCTTATGCAAAAGTTAAGCAGAGGCAGTCACCAAAGAAGTTGCTCACCTAAACTAAACTAATGACCAAAATACTGGACGCTAGTCTCAATTTTTATTACTTTCCTAAACCTGCTTGCTCTTATAGAAAAGTACACTTAAACTGGATGAATTTCCAAGGTCCTTTCCTATTCCTATCCTGAAAAGCAGTTTGGGGTTGGTAGTGGGGTTAAGCATCTTGATCACTCTTCACTGACAAAAAATGTTTCTGAGTAACAACTCATTTAAGCAGTGGTTTGGACAAGGTCAGAAATACAATTTCTCCTGATACCAATCGTTATCGTTTTGGGTTTTTTGTTTTGTTTTGTTTTGTTTTTTGTGTAGGGGGCAAGTCCTTCGAAAAAGGAACAGGGAGAGGCCTTAAACGAAACAAACATTACTGTGACAATATATGGCTTTTTAAACTGTCCATACTGAGGCCTTTCGGGGTGCGCAATGGACTCTACGTGACCTAAAAATACAAAAAACAGGACCGAATTACACAGGCCCCGTTCCGGCAAGTGACCCGAAGGTGTTTCCATTTGAAACGCTCTCTTCAGTTCCCACTCCGGAACGAAAGGGTTCCGGAGTTCAAAGTACGGAGGCAGGCCGGAGACAGCCCTGCGAAGGTTCCCAGACTACCTGTCTAACCGGCTCCCACCTAGCAAAAGCCTCTCGCCCCCACCCCAGCTTAAGGAGACTCGACCCAGCTTTACGTCTCCAGGAAATCATTCTTCACTTCTTTATAGCCTCTTTTCTTCTGCGAGACTCGAATTTCCCCTCGATATTATTGTGCAAGGTACCCTCGTCCGCCAAAGAGACTACTACGCTTGGTCAAGACCCCGTTTTACCTTCTTCAACTCCAGATCCACGGGGGCCGCCATGTTGGTACACTCTATGCGCCTGCGCATTGGAAGAAGGCCGGAAAGGGAGGGGGTAAGGGGTGAAGGGCGCGCCCTGAGGATGGAGCGACAGATTCCTTCTGCGCCTGCGCATGAGCCAGGCATACTAGGATTTATTTATTTATTTATTGGTCTTTTTTCCTTTTTATCGGTACTGGGGATCGAACTCACGACTGCCTGCTTGCAAGGCAGGCGCTTATGCCGCTGAGCTAAATCCCCAGCCCCAATTTTTACACAGCTGGGTGGTTTACCCTTGAGCTGTTGGGGTTCCATTTCAATATTCCTTGCTTTTGTAAATAGTCAAGTGTAGCTTGCTTCTCCATGTCTTCCAGTCACAACTCAAAGCAAATTTACTGTGTAGCTGTTGTAATAAGGGTTTCCAAGGGAAAAGATTTAATAAAACCAGATGTGCTGTTGGTAATGGATGCAGGTTTTTATTTTAGCAGCAATAAACTTTAGTCTTAAAATTCTATTTCGTTGATGTGCACACCTGTTATCCGAACACTCAGGGAGCCTGAGGCAGGATGATTGCAAGTTGAAGCCCTCATGGGCAACTTCATGACTTAGTAAGACTGTCTCAAAATCTAAAAAAAAAAAAAAAAAATTAACAGAGGACACAGCTCAGTGCAAAGGCCCTGGGTTCAAACTCAAGTACTGAAAAAAAATTATGTGGTCATTTTTAATACCCATCTGCTCTTTCCTGCAATGGTTTAATCTTACCTAAAAGAGAATATAATTAGAACATTATTAGAAATTGTTTTAAACTTCCTTTATAATGTCCCATCACCTGAAATATATTTGGATGTCAATTCTTTTGTTGGATACATCTTCTGTGTCTCTCTTGTGAACACTGATTTCCTCGTGTGAGACTCACAGTCTTTCTTCTTTCTAAAAATCTCAACTATCGGGGCTGGGGATTTAGCTCAGCGGCATAAGCGCCTGCCTTGCAAGCAGGCAGTCATGAGTTCCATCCCTGGTACCGATAAAAACGAAAAAGACAAAAAAAAAATCTCAACTATCGTAGTCACATTCCTTCTCACTGGGACAAAATACCCAACGCCTGCAACTTACAGGAAAAAAAGCTTGCTTTGACTCACTTTTCAGTCCATAGTTGGCTGATTCCAAAGCAGGATGGAATGGCAGAGGAACAGCTGCACATTTCATGGCAGCCAAGAAGCCAAAAGTGAAGGGAGGAGCTGGGGAATGAAATAAACCTCTCTAGGCCCTGCCCCTACTAACCTGCCTCTTCTAACCAGGCCCCACCTCCTAACAACCAATCAGCTATTATACAAAGTCCCCATAATCCAACGATCTTCCAGACCCACAGCTCTCAGCACATGAGGCCTTGGGGGACATTTAGGTCTAAACTGCAACACTCTTTAGTGTCTAGGATGCTCTGGAATGTGAAAACATCTCTGCAGTTGGCTTCATATTTATGTCTATCAAAGCTTTATGAAATTTATGGGTTCCAGACCAGTTTTTACCTTTGTGCATGTATGTGTAGATGTGATACAGGGGATCAAACTTAGGGCCTCGTGTATGCTAGATAAGCACTCTTCTACTGAGTTACATCCCAAGCTAGCTCTACTTTCATTCTTGACGTCACATGAGTGAAACAAATGAGGGGTGGGTTGATAATAGTCATCATAAGCATGAAGTTGACAGTTTGTGATATACATTAATGGCCTGGTTATGACTGAAATATGTTTCAATACAACCATTTCATTTGGAACTTCCTTTCTGGAGCTTCTAAAATGACAGGAAAAGACTATGACTGAAATCTCTAAAGAGTTTACTATCCTTGAACACTTTTCCAGAGAATATTTACGAAATTAAACTGGGCATGATAGCACATGCCTGTAATCCCAGCTTTTGAAACTGAGGCAGGAGGATCACCATGAGTTTGAGGCCAGACTGAGCTACATAGTGAGTTAAAGCCCAGCCTGAACTGCATAGGGAGATTCTGTCTCAAAAAAAAAAAAAAAAAAAAAAAAAAAACAAGAAAAATCATGAAGTACCTATCTCTTTTACTTTGTAGAAGAAAAAAAAAGAACAAAACAGATTTTCTGTTCAAGGCTTTACTAGTATAAGGGTATACTCCTGAGGTTCAATCCACCCTCAGAGAATGTAACTCTCAGATCTGCTTACCAATGCTCAATAATTTTTTTGGTTTATTCAACAAATACTTATTAATATCTGCCACACATTGCTCTAGGCTTTTGCAGTATACCAATAACAAGATAAAAAGTCTTTGATTTCACACACTCCACTGAAAAAACACAAGTAATAAATAAGCATGGCTTATTTAGAAGCACCCCAGCGTGGGCCAGGAGAAGAACCAGCACTCCCGAGTTCTGGCCCTGGAGGGACTTAGGCAGTTTATTCATCCACCCTCTTAATAAAGCGCCCCTGATGCGGGCCAGGAGAATCATCGGCTCCCTTGAGCCTACCAGCACACAGGCTGAGAATCAAACATCAAACCCCACCCCAAGCAACTGGGGATAGATGTCTCAGCATCTCTTGGGAGGATGGCCATATGCAATATAGCAAATACAGCAGATTTCCTTCTATTTTCTGTTTGAAGGCAAAGGTTGTTTTCACTGTTTTTGTTTTATGTTTGTTTTGCTCTATTCAATACTCTTTCAAATGGTTTTATAATGTTATGCTTTTGGTTTGGTTTCGCTATACCTAATTGGCTGGACAACTATTGTGAAGATAATGAGATATACTATAGCACCTATTGCTACTATCCTACTATCCTGCTGTGAAGTTCTGTACCAATTTCACTGCCACGTTTCAATTGGCTTTGTTCCGTCTTGTTCCGTCTGTTTCTGAGAAGGAAAAGTAGTTTTTACTACTTTCAAAATAAAATTTTTAAAAAATTAGCATACAACCAGGAGTGGTAACACATGCCTATATTTCTAGCACTCAAGAGGCTGAGGCAGGAGGGTTGCTGTGAGTTCAAGGCAGTCCAGGGCTCCATAGTACAGGTCAGCCTACACTACATAGCAAGACCATGTCTCAAAAAGCCAAAATAATAGTAATAATCACAGATACTAAAATAAGTACTATTAAGAAAGAAAACAGTAACGTGCTTAGAGCTTGACTGGGTAGAGGCCACGTAGCTGTGAGAAATTTTCAGGAGGACATAGAATTTGAGATGAGAACTAGAAAATGGAAATAATGAACCAAGCTAAGAACTTGGGATAGAGCATTCCAGACAGAGGGAATCTCAAGAGCAGAGAGTTTAAATTGGACAGGCTTGGCATATTTGAAAACTAAAAAAGGAAGAAGCCAGTGTGGTTGGATTGGGAAAATAGTAGAAGATGACATTAGAGAGGTGATCAGGGACTAGATCATGGAAGGATTTTTAAGCAACAGTCAGGGTTTAGAATGTCACTGAGTGTGATCAGAAACCACTGAATGATTTGAAGCAGAAGCTTCCCCTGATCCTATTTTCAGGGGAACATTGTGGGTTCTAATAGGAAAGGGATTGGAGGGACATTAGTGGAAGCAGAGAGTTCTGGTTAGGAGACTACTGCAGTAGCCAAAAGAGAGATGATGATGGCTACAGGAGATCACGGCAGCGGAGAAGGAAGTGCGTGGGTGCAAGCAAAGGCTACTGAACTTGATGAAGTGTTGGGGAGGAAGAGACAATAAAAAAAGAAAGAATCAAAGATGATCCCTCCAGGATGAACATAACCATCATATAGTGCAGCCATTACTAATAATCACTAAACTTTAAATAATATGCTGAGTCAAGGAGGCCTGGTAAAAACACAACAAATGCTGGGCATGGTAGCACACACCTGTAACCCCAGCATTCGGGAGGCAGAAGCAGGAGGATCACCATGAGTTTGAGGTCAGCATGGGCTACATAGTGAGTTCAAGGCCAGCCTGAACTACACAACAACAGAAAGGAAATAAATCTAAAATGTTAAAAGGCCAATGATTGTATGATAGGAGAGCAGGGGGCTGGGAAAGAGGCAGAAGGCAAAGTTTACAAAGGAGTGTGAGGTAATGTGTTTATTGTATTACTTGTGGAGCTAGATTCCTGAATGGGAACTCAGCAAACTCTATATTCTTTATATTCAACTCACTATATATCAAAAGTATTTCAAATCTGTTTAAAATAAAAAAGCATTTTTTTTAAAGCCAGTCAAATTTAGCAGTGGGGAGGGTGGTATACCAACTTTAGTGACACTAATGTTAATAAGTTCTGATAACCCACTGCCATCGGACCAGCCCAAAAAAGCATTCTTAAGGTGATTTTTGTTTGTTTGTTTGTTTTCTGGGGTGTTTTTGTTTTTGTTTTTGTTTTGAGACAAGGTCTGGCTTTGTAGTTCAGGCTGACCTTGAACTCACTATGTAGCCTAGGCTGGCCTTCAACTCTCAGAGATCCTCCTGCCTCAGCCTCTCGAGTGCTGGGATTACAGGCATGTGCCATTATGTCCAGCTGAACTCCTAAGTTTTTTTTATCTGCTCAGATTAGTTTAATGGTAATGTCTTGAACTGAGAAGGAAAAGTAATTTTTGTGGTATAGCTTGTGTGTAGTCTTAGGACTGCTTCATAAGAATAATGAAAAAATACTTCTCCTTGTGAATAGACTGTGTACGTTAGATTATAAATTGAGCTGCTACAATACAGATCCAAAATAGCAATGACTAAAGCAGGTTAGAAGCATGTTTCTTTGCATTGCAATCATCGAGGCTTAAAAAAAAATTGAGAGCAAAAAATAAGTCCCAAAGTGCCAGGGTTCCCAGGCTCCTTCTCTCTTATCCACAAGATCCAAGGCCATTTGTCACTATCATAGTCTAACTTAAAGAAGGAGAAAAGAAGGGGGAGGCTTACCTCTTCCCTTTAAAGGCTTTTCCCACAAGCTGCAAGTGTGGCTCTATTCCTATTGCAATAGCCATAACACTGTTCCTGGCTGCAAAAGAGGCAGGGATGTTTTGTTATTATTATGCACAACTTTGTGCCTAATTAAATACTAAGAATTCTGTTATTTTAAAAGAGAAATAGAATACAGATATTAAGAGGAAATGAGCAGCTTTTTATATAAGTTTTCAGTTGACAAAGCTACTTCCACTCATCATGTCATTTGA